TTTTTTTTTTTTTTTTTGGAACATTGGTTTTTATTAGAGCTGAAACCATATGTCAGGTAATTGATTAGTCATTTGCTAAAAAAGGAACTGGCAACTGTTTTGATAATGGGACAGTCATTTAGAGATATTTTAAGCACACATACCATCATATTTTTGCACCTTAAATGTAAATATTTGCTGGTTTTCTTCTATGATAGTAAACTGATTACCGAGTTTTGGTTGGACAAAACATGCTGTCTAAATATGTCGGCAAGCTTTAGGAAGTTGCAATGTGTATTTCATTACTTTTTTCTGAAATAGGTCAAACGATGAATACAATTGTCAGATTACATAATAATAAAAATATTGTTCAGTTGCAGACAGTTTTTATGCTTTTTTCCCCATCAATATATTTTCTATGAGCAAGAGGAATTATTTGAGTTACAAATGATTTTTAATTTATAGCAATTCACTTTGAAAGTAATTTTTCCCCCATCATGAAAGCAACTTAAGAGCATTAGTGCTCTATGGATCACAGTTTGACAGCTAATAATAGTTGACCCATTAAAGTGTGTCTTCAGTACGTTAGCTGCGCATAGGGACAATGTATACACCCAGTGGCCACTTAATTAGGTGGACATATACAATCTAATGCAATCCAATACAACATCCCTGCCATTTTTTTTGTTCTATACCTCAATGAAACTTCAATATAATGACATTTAAAAAAAAAACTGAACATTAAATGCATCCTAAAAGTAGACTTATAGCAGAACAAATTTTTTGGTGACATTAAGACTATACATGTGTACCTAATAGAGTAAACACTATGTAATACCCTCCATACATGAACTTCCTCATTAGAAGTTATTTCTTGCATGTATAAAGTTTAAATGAAGATGAATATATTGTATGCGTTTCAACCACTACGACACCAGGATGCCCCTTGTACTGCTGTACTGACAAGTCACTGCAGCTCTTGACATGAATTACCACTTTGCAGTCATCACGTATGAAATCATGAAGCAGCATAGAGCCTAAGCCCTATTCATAATCCCTTACAAATGAATCATTTAAATAGTGTCTCTTAAAATACATACTTTACAGAGAACTAAAAGTTAAGTTGTTTATATTTAATTTTATGGGGATGCTTGCACACACACACTCACACACAGATGTGTTAAGCTGATGTGTCCACACACAGGTCAGAAGCAGCAACAGCTGAGTTAATAGGTGGCACTTAGGGCAGGCACAGGAGACCAGCGAGTGTTTGGTTTTCTTATGAGCAGCCAGGAGGGGGAACCATCCCTCTTTGCATGCATGCTCACAAGAAAAGGAAAGAAAAAGTAATTAAACAAACAATTTACCAGGAATTGTGTGTCTGCTTATCCAATCTACCACACTCGCTTTTGCTCTAATACATATAGACAGAAAATGGGGGAAAAAAAAAGATTGTTTGTTGTCTCCTCAAAGTGACGGTAAATGACACACATGTTTCATTGCCCATTCAGTTAACCTGCGCTGTGCCTTATGAGGAGAAAGGGATTGAGAAACAAATTACGTAGTGTCATTTAATTAGAAGTTTTGCTGTGAGCAATAATCCTGTTTTTTCTCATAACCTTTAACTACTTAATGGATTTGAGAAGCTATTACCTTTCA